AATGAATGTTGAATAAACTAGGATAACTTGTCAAAACGTACAAAAGACAGCCACAGCTGTGAAAAACTAACTAGAGTTAATGAAAGGTTGTCACCGACAAACGATTGTTAAGAAAGGAAGAAGGTTTTGATAATGACTGATTGTTGCACTACCTAACACCGGGGGCAAGAAGTTCTTGCGCTTGTAAAAGCTCTGAATTAAAATAATCATACCAGAAGTTGCTAATCCTTGCCTATAAAAGTTTATTAGTTGCTCAAAATTCCAAAGCTGATGGTGGAATAGTAAATTTGGAGAAAAGAAAAATGCAGATGATGGAATTACAACTCAGTGCATGATGTATATGCTGGATTTCAACATCCATTGGCGCTTTTTCAATTTCTTTCTTGTTATTTTGGAGATAGAATATTATAGCCGCCAGCCAAATTGATTTTTGTTAGTATCAGAGACAGAAAATAGTTAAAGGTAATCCACTTCTGACAACAGTGTATTAAATGTTAATCAAACATATAAATAGTGGGTAATAAGGTGCCGACACTCCAGAAAGTTGGTGTTGAAAGGAACAATATGGAAGACCCTACAACTCCAGCAGCCAACCTGAATTACACTTTATTCACAAGGGTCTGCCTGCCCCTTTTCGTCCATCGGAGATGATGACTGATATTATAATGCTAATTAGATAAACCAAGCAAGTATCAATTCAATGTTGGAAGTCAAAGCAGGCTATGTTGTTGATATAAATTAGATTATGTTAGGATATGGAAAGGAAGGGGAGAGAGTAAAGAATTCATAAAGAAGCAGATATGCTAAAAAATACAACTTCCACTGAATGATAAACTTTTCAATAACTTTTGCTCATCTATAGGCCTCATTCCACCAAAACTTGCATGATAGGAATATATGAGAATTTGTATAAACAAGTGCATATTATGTCCGAACAAAAATAGAGCATGTACAAAAATGATTTCCTTTATTTTCTCAAAATCTGTGCAGTTGGAAAAGCTTTATGAATTTTCTCAATGATGCCAATGGCCTTCCTTCTAGCCCTTGTTGTCCCTGTATCTGCAAGTTCAGCTAAAGTACATTTTTCAATCTCTTCTTCCCTGATCACCCTCAGCATAGTCAGATCTTTTGAACACACACTGTATAGGATTGAGACACAATTTTCTCTAGTACGTTCAGAATGGCTATCTCTTATGATCTGAAACAACCAACGCAAAGTATCAAAATCCCCAAGTTCATCAACAGCTTCGTGATGTGTAGATAAAAGGGCAAGAATGCCTAACAACTCATCAACAAATATGCCATCCTTAATCTTCTGCAACATCACCTTCACTATCCCTATTTCAATAAACTTTGCTTTATTCTCAGATACAATACATAGGTTGAATATTGCTGAGGCAGCATCCATCAATGCCAATGGATGCCCTTCACGTAAGAGTTCAACTAGAGGCACAAGAGCACCAGAATTTCCAATGATGAACTTGTTTGAGTCGAGCGCAGATAATGAGAATAGAGCAGCTGCAGCATTTCTTCTTGTTTCAATGGTTCCAAACTTCATAGATTCAATAAGCAGAGGGATGACAACAGGATTTTCTGCTATTAGTTTCTTATTGTTGCCATGAATTGACAGGTTCAAAACTGTTGTGATCAAATCCTCCTGGAGACCAGGATCTGACTCAACCTTGCTTTGTGACAGTGGACTGAGCAATCTAGAGATGGCATCAGTAAACTCGCAAAAAACAGCCCGATATGATGGTGCTGCCTTTGTTAATCTCCGAAGCTCTTTAGCAGCTTCCTTCTGATCAGAAAGGGAAGAAGACATCTTTTCAAGCAATGAGTTCAAATATATGCAGTCTACCTCAGTATTCACATCTCCATCAACATCCTGATAGGACTTCGGCAGTGCAATGCCACGTTCTTTGCTCCAGTGTAAAATCAATTCTCGCACCAAACAGTTAGGGGTAAGGATAGTGTGGGAAAGGACTTGTTTGGACAGAGGGCATGTTAGGTTACCTTCATTCAACCACTTCTGGATGTTTGGCCTATCATAAGTCTGAAAATCGATAAGTGCAGATGATTGAGAAGTAAAAAAAATATCAAGACTAAATATGGCAATCTCTCATAAAGAAGGTATGAAATCATAAAAATGTTGCATTAGGTTCAGATGATTATCTCTTTAAATGAGAGCTGGAAGTTTATGTTGAAAAGGTAAAATGTTGGCGCTCTAGGCTACTTGGAACTATGCTATTAGCCGATTCACTAATGTACCAATTTGACAGGGAGTAATCCCCATCTACCTATTGAAATGTAACCAGCTAAAAAATAACTTCTTTTGAGAAGTTCAACCTCATTCATTTCCAACTAAAACAAAGGATAACTCAATATTTGAAAGTTTTAAAAGCTACAACCTATCAGATCGGCAAACTTGTGGGATGCTTTCGAATCATTCAAACTCAAAAGGAAAAAGAGAAAGAAGCACATAGACAGACACAAAAGACATTTGCATGAACAATATCAAACAATGTACTTCCATTGTAACAAAATTTTGTCAGAACTCTATGGTAAAGGTCCATTTAATCAACATGAAACCTTTGTAAGTTGTTTCCCATGCCAGGAATTAAAACGAGCACCAGCTACAAGTGTAAATCACATTAGAAATTCGGCTTTACATGCAACTTACAATCACTAAATAATTCCTCAATAAGGAAAAGATTTTAAAGATTTTCACAGTGACTAATACCAGCTAACTGGAAATATTCCTAGAAGGCAACAATAAATTCTGAATCTTTCCATAGTCAAATAAAGACTCTATTGCAAACCATTCATCGAAAGAATCAATGAAATGATAAAAGAAAATAAAAAAGATAAAAGAATGAATTAGGAATAGACAAGAAACTTTAATATTCAACAAACCAGCCAAAATCCAAACAGTCGAAGCATGATAAAGCAAACCTATTTACATACAGAAACAAAGTAAAAAAGGTCAAGCTTTAAAGTCTAACCTGGCCAGAACTCAAGACAACAGGATCACCCATTATTTCACCTGAAAGAGGACACCTGAATTTCTCAGGCAAAATCGTATCGCCTAGTCGAAATCCAACAGGTTTTTTCAGCTTCAATTCTGCTAAACTAGACAAGATTCTTGTAGCTTCAATTGTTATCAATCCGATATCATCTTCTTCAAGAATCGTCTTCACCACCCTTTGAAGTTCTTTCTTTAACTCTGTTTCTTCCCCTACTGCTGCAGACTCTGTCTTAGCCATTCAAAGAAACCAGGTTCTTTGGGAATAGAAAGGAGCAAGATTTTAATCCCAATGAAGAAAAAAGGAGGTTGGATTGTTGGTGAAGAGAAAGGAAAAGAAATATAGAAAATGGAGCTTCAATGGATTTTCTTGTTCGTTCTTTCTTTGTAGTTTGCTTTGCAACTTCCTCTGTTTCGGCAACTGAAAAGAAAACAAAAAATAACAGGTTCTTGCTTCTTGGAAACAAAAAGGAACAAAAATTTCACTACTCAATAAAGAATATAAAAGTGGGATTCCGTTTGGCAAGAGAGAAAAGCAAAGAAAAGATTGAAATTTAGAGTGAATTTTCTTATTGTTCTTTCTTTTCTCTATGGTTTGCTTTGAACTTTCATTTTCCTTGGTGAGAAGATGAGAGAATTTGATGGGAAAAGGCAGTTTTTTTGTGTTATATACGCACTTCAACTACATCAACTCTATGTGCTGATGCTGTCAACCAAAAGAGAGATGATGTTGTTACCAGAGTTGGTAGGGGTTTTATGTCACAATGAAATTTGATTGGCTAGCATTTAAATGACAAATAATTTGTTGCCATGTAAAGAGAATTATATGAGTGGCTATTTGTCAAAAGCTCTGTTTCTCAAACTTTTGTGGGTTTTATTTTATTTTACAACTGAAATAATTTTATTTCATTTTTTTGAAAATTGATTGTAAAAAATTAGATTAAAATATAAAAGAAGTCAAGACTTTGAGAATCCAAACCATGCCTCAAACTTTAGTTAATATGTAAATATCAAATGTGTAATAGGTATTGATTAAAATAATTATGAAATTTAATGATGATAAGATAGTAGGGTAGGTGCTTAATTCCTTTTTGTTCCCTTCCTTTTTCTCTCTTCTCTTATCCAATTTCTTGTAGAAGAAGTTCATTTAAATTAAATTCATTTTGTAACAATTTTGATACACAATTAAAATTCTATTTACTTATAAAATTAAGATTTTGACTCAAAATATTTATATTTTGATTACTTGTTTCATATTTACTTAAGATGGTTAAATTACTAGGACATAAACTGAAATTTCATAAAGATATAATATTTTTTAAAAAAATTTAAATTATTTATAAAAAAATCAAATAAAATTTTTATTTTTTATTACATTCACTCAATTTTTTATACTTTTATTTTCGATTAAATAAAATTTATTTTTATATCAAGTGACATTAATGTAAATAGTAAAAAATATTATATAATCATATTATTATGCCACATTGATATAACATGTTATCATTATGACTTGCTAATATATTACTATAGTAAATTAGTACAATATTTATTGCTATTTATTTTCTAATACTCACTTAAATTTTCACAATTATTAAAAAGGCATGACACTTGCGGAGGAATTGAATAGAACATGAATGACATCAATCAAAATGGGTACTAGCAAGCCAAAATATTAGGTGACTGTGAGGTGGGGCTCCATACTATGTAAGGTAAGCCGTAATTGGAAAGAGAAACGTGTTGAATTCGGGGATACTGAAATCATTACATCTAAATCTTTTTAGAAATAAAGTAAACTTTGATTGATTGATCTGACCACTATGTTTTGAGTATCATCATGCATAGCTAAATTCAATAAAGGCGTACATTTGGAGCATGGAAATGTTACATATTGGCAATTATTACTTAAAATAGTTGTTAGATTAAAAAAAATTGAGCTTGCATCATTCACTTAGCTGAAACACAAAATGGGCACAACAATATATATATATATATATATATATATATATATATATAAATCTTTATTGCTTATTAAAGCCTAGTCAAATATACAAATGTTTTTCATATGTTTGGGGAGAACAAAGGCAAAAAGGAGAAACAAAGGAAAAGAGAACAGAGAAGACATTACTTCAACAAGTGAAATTCAATTAAAGGGGGAAAGCTTAAGTGTCTCTAACTCTATATTCAATTTTCTTGTCAAATTCCACAGCCTTTAGCAAAATCTGCAGCATGTACAGGGCCGAACAAAGTTGTTGCCAAAAGTCATACCTTGCCATCTACAAGTAAGAACATAAGCTGTAAGTAAATTGAATTCCAGAAGGCATTCTTTCCAAACAACATGCAGATGTAAGACAGCAAGAATATGCAATGACAACATCACAACAGTAATGATGACAATGACAACAACAACAACAACCACAATGACAATGAAGATAACATGAGACTGCTTGTCTAAGACTTTTGGCAAGGATAGTTTGAGACTATAAGATACCATATCAAACCTGTAAAATCTTCAATTCATGTACAAGATAGAGACTTCATGTATTTCTGCATTAACCAAAGGATTTGCCACCTTATCCTTTTGGTAGCCTTTTACATATGTACACTTTCTATTTGACATTTTAATATTTTTCAACCGTAAAACAACAGAATATAAAGATCTTAGAAAGTGCATAAAATAAACTCAGCATAGCAACATTGCTTGCAACTTGAAGTGACTAGGTATAATGTGTTACCTGCATCATCCTGAGAGTATAGCAGAAAAAGCGAAATTAACCATAACACAGAATATTTTAAGTTTCATTTACCTGTTACTACAGACTGATAAGAGCCAGAACAGAGAACTAAATCATATCCTACCTTCACCTCAGAACTAGGCATGTATAAAGTTGACAGATCGACACAACTTAACAGTAAAAAAATTCTTCTCAATAATTTTCCTATATTGATTTCTCCCTGTTGTATGATTTCTTTACAAAAATATGAACAATTGTTAGATAAAAACTGAAGAACTTATAATGATCAGAAGAAAATGATATGGATAAGGACAACAATAAGCTCTAATGGCCCTCATGAAAGTTCCATGATGACATAACTGATGATAATGAAGATTGTAATGTTTCAGAGAAAAACGATGTCAAAAATGATGATGCCAATACTAGGGCTTGGTTGTTCAGTTCAGAATGGGAAAAATCAAGAAGCACACATAAAAATCAAAAGGTTCCAGCAGCTAAAAATGAAACGAAAATATAAAATAAAGGATACAAAAGAGGATACAGATCGAGATAATGCCAAAGCTTGATAACTTCTTACTGCAAAGTGCAAAGTTATTAAAGGAAACCATGTCAAAAACATAATTTCATATTTAAATAAAATCACCAGATGTGAATCTAAAGGACGATAACTGATAAACTCACCCCAAAAAGGGAAACTACTTGAGATTCTCCACATCAATAAGGACATAGTTCATTTGCAGATTATCCACTGGCACATTTATGATATCATTCAGGTCTGACATACTTAACAAAGACATCATCTTCATACATGTCATCAGATTCTGAAGGATTATATCTATCATGAAATCCATTTTGCACCCAGGAGCCTGAAGTATGATTCTCATATGAACTCCTTCTATTCTTATCAGTAGCATCCAACTTCTGGTCATCCTTTCTTACATGAAAGTCATCTGAAGAATTGGAAGCAGAATAAGATGATTTGTAATCCTTAAATTTAGAAATACTATATCGTCTTCCACTCTCATAGTGCGTGGCCCTGGTGGATTCTGCATCATCTCGCTCCCTTCTATGACTTCTTTGCTCATCTGACCGCCCATGACTTCTGTGTCTTTTTGAGATTCCAGAATGATACTTGTCTCTGTGTTTCTCTTTACTAATACTCCTTAAATCTTCAAGAAGATCATGGTGTCCATTCCTTGAGGAATCCTCTAATCTTGTAGATCTAGTATGCTGGTCATCATGTGATCTTCTCCTGTAATGGTTTGGGCTACGTCTGGCTGCTTCAGAAATGTCACTGGTACCTTTTTTATGCTCATCAGCATCCACAGCAAGGTCACAAGGAACTGGTGATTCAGATGGTAACAACCCTTCCTTTTCTGGTCCTTTGACAAAGCAACCAATCCTCCCAGCTTTCTTGATTTCCTCTGTGTATTCCTCTATTATATCCCTCATAACCTACAAAAAATATATTGAAATAACTTAAAACACTACTTAAGAAGTAAAACCACCTCGCAAATTAACTGACTCTGCATTTACCTAATTTAAGTTTCTTGTTAGCAATGACTCCTAAAAGTTATCCTTCTTTACCAAAGCATATAATTTGAGGAAACAATTTGGAATTTCATGACAGTCACAATGAATAAGATATTAGAAAATGGAAATTCCTCCAATCTCTCAGCAGGCATGTAGGCTTCTTACAGTCTATCTTGCGTTGCAAGTCTCTTTTTTGGGAAAAGTGTAAAGAAATAAAAAAAAAAAAGCATTTCTAGAGGAAATATCAACTAGCAGATATAAATAGCCAAAAAGGGCACATAATCCCAACCAGGCAATCACACTTCAAAGAAGACTTTCACACCTGTAATGCTGTCCGCTTCAATTTCTTCCCACGATATGACATTCTTCGTCTTTTATAGTCTCTTTCTTCGGCCAATATCTCCGCTCTTGTTTTAGTCCTACTTCCTTCCTTTTATAATTAGAAAAAAGAATTGTGAGAATATAAAGTAATGTCATGACAAAGATACTAAGTGACAGACTAGTCAAACAAACTATGCAGTATACGTAATGAGTCATATAGCAGTTTATTAACTCTGTTATACTTCAGCTGTTTATGGTAATAACTTCAAAACACTTACCTACCTCAAGAGAAAAAATGCTATGTCAATGCAAGTTTAACAGAATGCTGTTGGCATAAACCTTCCATTCCAGGGACCTGAATTTAGGTAGCCAGGCAATCTAAACTTATATCACAGCTCTCAACATTGTGCCACAGTAACACCTAAATGGCTAGTTTTATAAAGCAAAGCATCAAATTCTAAAGCAAAATGCAGCTAAAAACATTTGGCATATAGATGAACTTGTACCTCATTAGATGATGCCTGCCGAGGAAGCCCATCATGGTCAATTATAGGCCTATAGTTCGGACGTTTCTTCCGCTCCGCATCAGCTCTCTCAGAAAAATAAGCATGCTCAGCCATCCTACAATCAGGGAGACCCATTAGTCATGTCAGCATCCATGACGCAACTGAACGTAGCACATCTCAGGCAAGGACGTTTTTGTTATTACGAATATATTTCAGTTTAGTGGTAATATCAAACTACGAGATATTTTACTGTAAAAAAAATAATGAACAAAAGCAAAATTGAACTGCAAACAATACAGCAAAATAAAAAGAGTGAAGAAGTGAGCACTACAGGGTTATAAGAAACTTTAAAAAACAAATATTTGGCAGATTATCGGGGAGTCTGTAAACTTTAGAAAATGAAAATGGTACTAACCGCTGATATCTTGAAAGTGGTTGTAAAGCCCGTAAATGCTTTATTTTTTCTTCAAGGAAGCACCATTCGTGCAATGCCGCAACTGCTGCTGCTACCTGGGATACAAATATCACCCCAACACCAATAGTTTCATTGACTGTTTCAACTGGTTCATTACTTTGCTCAATTGTCTCCTCAAGTTTAATTTCCTTAACACCATTGGTGTCCAAACTCTGTGATTCTTGTCCCAAATTGTGTGAATCAGTCACCTTTTCTTCCAATGGAAACAACAACAACAGTGATGCACCTTCTAATACACATTGCTTGATCATATTAATTGCAAAGAATTTCCCATTAACATCACCATACAAAACAGAAAGCTGAGAACCTAACCACACTAAAACTTGAAGCAAAATAGGACATTCAAACATTCTCCTCTGCAAATTCACATCCCATTCTTTCTCCTTAGATTCTTCATATCCCATCTCTACTTCCATCAAACCAACCGCTTCCCTCACAACAGCTTTCAAACACAACCTAACCAGCACAACTATATGATCCCCCATATACCCATCAATCATTACACCATACCGTGGCGAATTAGCAACAATCCATTTCCTCAAATTACTTCCTTTAGCCATTTTCGATCCCAAAATCGCATAAATGACATTAAACGAATACGAACCAGGGTAATCACCCCACCTCTCAACTTCCCTCCTAATTTCCCATAAGCCTGAAGCTAAAACCCTTAAACCCTTTTCTTCTCTAACCACACTCTCTCGTTCTTTAAAACCCTCAAAATTAACACATTCAACGGATAGAAAACCCGGTAAAGTAAATGTCTTTTTGGAGTTATCAACATCAAACAAATTGACAGCACCAGGACAATCTTTGTAAAAGAAATTTGACCCAAAATCAGCAAAGTATCCATCTAACGAGAGGCAAAGTTCAGAGCATTGTATACCTTGAAAATGGGTGTCCTGGGCATGTAAATTTGAAGGGAGTATGAGGGTATTTCGGTAATTTGGAGGATAAAGGTCGCGATTTTGAGGGGAGGGGCAGCGGAGGGAATGGGAGAAGAGGGATTCTGGGGGGAAGAGATGATTGGGGTTGAAAGGGCAAGCGATCAGGTTGGGATTTAGGGATTTGGTGACGGTAGAATGGAAATTGAGGGTTTGGTGGGAGACAGATAGGAGGGAGGTGAGGGAGGAGAGAGTTGTAGAGAGAGAGGAAGGGAAATTGAGGTTCTGGTTTTGGGGGAGGGACGGGATTGGGGAATTAGGGTTAGGGTTTTGGGAAGGGAGAGAGGGTTGAATTGAAGAAGGATTCATGGCGTTTAGATTTGCAGGAGCAGTGGAGCACTGACAGAGAAAGCACAGGCCTTTTTGGTGCTTTTGAGCTTTGCTCTTTTTTATTTTTCTTTATTCTAATATTAAAAAAGTTTTTTATAGCTCTTTTTTCTTTTTCTTTATATTGGATTGATTACATTATTTGTTCTACTTTTAACATATTTTTCTCTTTGTTTCACTTTTAACATTCCAATTTTCGTTTTTAAAATGTAGGATTTGAAAAACTTATCACTCTGGCGAAATTTGTAACAAGTAAATTTGCTAACACTTATCATTTTAGCTATAGTAAAAAGTTCTAAGAAAATTTTATTTTTAAGTTTCGAGATTTAAATATACAATTATTTTTTTAAAAAAATAAAGATTCTTACGATTAAATTTAAAATTTTTATTACATAAATTCATAGCATCTTATAAAATCCAATTTTAACTCATTAAGTAGTAACATGGTTGTTTAGTGTATATTTATTATTGTAAGAATTGAAGATTGATACATTTAAGCTCATCACTCTTTTATCAAATTTCATTTTCTCACTCAATAGTGATAATTACTGAGCTATATTTATAAAACTATTTTTCATGTCATAAAGTAAAGGAAGAAGAAATAAAAAGAATCCTTTTTAGTATTTGGATATTTGGTTCATTAGTTAGTACATAATTCTTGTTTAAAAAAATAAAAAAATAAATCCCTTCCCTGAAATAAAAAAAAAAATTCCAAGTAAGGAATGTCACCTCCAATTAATTAAGGTTAAAAATGATAACTTTATTATATAAAGTTATTTTGATACATTTTGAAGCTTAAGTAGTTAGATCTTTGAGATTTTAAGTTCGGATCGTGATATTTTAAATATTTTTTTAGATTAAGTTTGATTATATGTTGAGTAGTTAATTTATATTATTTTAATTAAATTTTATGTTATTTTGTTTCAAATTATTTTAAGAGTAGTTATTACTAATTCTCTTATTGTTTTTGTAAAAAATTATTAAAAAAGAGTCATTTGATGAAAATCAGTACAAATATGGTAATGACTTTATTCATATATATTTTGATATTTTGATCATATTTTTCTTTAAAAAACTCGAAATGAAGTGATTCTTAAACTATTAGAATTTTAAGAAGAAGGGTTACAACTTTTATATTTATCATTTTTGCTTAGTTTTGATCAAATCATGATCAAAATATTTGTCTAATTTGAAACATTGCAACAATATGCAGGAATTGATTATGATGTAGTGTTTGGAGCAAATATTTTAATTTAGAAGTTCAATTAATATGATTATTAAGTCATTAAAAAGTTAAGAAATAGAGATAAAACTTTCATGTTTACTACTTTACCTAATTCAAACCAGATTAAGGTAAAAATCATATTTAAAGTTGATAAACTGCTGCAACATTATAAGAACAAAACTGTAACGACGGTGAAAAGAAACACACAATACATGTGTATTTCCCGAGAACTTAGCGTTACAACGTTAGAAAAAGATGGCCACAGTACTACTGTAGCAACAATCCAGCACCATAACACTAAGAAATTCAAGTCGCGGTACTAGTCAATTTTTCAAAAATAAAAATTTGATAAAATTTTAAAAATTAAGTTACTTTAAGCTTACTTAAGAACCTTTTTTAGAGATTTTAAGAATTAGGTAGAAAGTAATTATTTTGAAAATTTAAAGTCAAGAATAAAGTAAAAAAATTGCAAAAAATAAAAAAAATTAAAATCACAAAATTTCAATTATTAATTTTTTATTTTTTATTTAAATTAATAATTAATTTTTTAAATAAAATTTTTATTAAATATTATGAATTAAATTTATTTTTTTAAATTTACAATTAAACTTATATATAATTTAAATTTTTAATTTTTTTTATTTTTAATAAAATTTAAATTATTTATTTTAATTTATTCTTAATGCTTTATCACCAATAAAATTAATTCAAAAACTGCTGCACATTGCTCCCGCTCCAGTCAATCATTGCAAGGCATTTAATTCCTTCGGAAAGCAGTCGGATTTGGGGAGGAAAGGTCACCTCCGGCTGCCTGCTCGGGCTTGCTTGTGCCAGGACTTTGAGAAATCATGCTCAGAATTTGTGCCAGAAGAGCATGATTTTACTTTTGAATTGCCTTAAAATTTAGACAATCTAGTTCTTAGGGGAGAGGATTTTGAAACCATCTAGTAATAAAAAACAAAATCCATTTCTTCAAACAATCAATACCAGCAAAACTAAGACCAAAAAAATTCTAAACTACAATCAAAGAAAAATAAAAAAAAAATCATAACCAAAAAGAAACCAAAAATATCAAAAAGAAAACCAAAAAAAGAAAAACAAATCTCAAAACTGAGAGCCAACCTTGACAAAAAGAAAAATTGAGAAATGGGTTTTATGGGGAGAATATTGGAGGAGTAAAGAGGGAGATACGGTTAGGAAATAAAGAGGAAGAAAGAGGGCCGACTGGTGGTGAAGAGAAAGAGAGAGGGAAGGTCGACCAACGGGGAAGTGAGAGAAGGAAGGAAAAGAAAGAAAAAAGAGAGAAAGAAAAAGGTTCGACACCGACGGGGAAAGGAAGAAGAGAGTAAAAAAAAAAAGAGAAAAAAGGCGGAGAAGAAAGGTGCCGCCGATCAAAACAGAGAGAGAAAAGAACAAGAAAAAAAATAGAGAGAAGGGACAGCATTTGGCTCAGAGAGAGAAAATGATAGGGAAAGAATAAAAAAAACGAAGAGAAGGTTTTATGCCCAGGCATAAGGGAGCAAACCGACGCCGTTTGAAGGGGCTTTTGAGGCAAAAAACGGTGCGTCTTGAAGGGGATTAGGTGGGTTGGTGCACCAAGCTTGCCTTCCTTCTTAGGCCAAGGCTTTCTTGGGCTGGTACAATCCTAAATCATGTAAGCCCTATCCTTATTGCTGGGTTTCATTGTGTTTATTTAGGCTTGTTCACTTGTAATTTAAGGAAATTTATTGTTTAGAATTTTGTTTGGTTTAAAAATAAAATAAATATTAGGCAGTAAAAAGTAAAATTAAGTAAGTAAAATGTTAGTTAGTTATGAAAAAATTAAAAAAAAATAATTTAGGAAAGAAAATATAATATATATATACATACATATATAAAAGATATTTAGTCATAGGAAAAAATAGCTTAAGTATGGACTGAAAATAGTCTTAAAATAGATTATTATATCAAAATGAATTGAGTAAATAGAAGTAAATAAAATATATTTTTAGTAATAAGAATAAGTTAAGTATGTGATAGCAATAAAATATTTAATCACACAAATATATATATATATATATATAGATACATGTAGAAAATAAAAGAATATAAGATAGTAAAAATTATACATATATAAAATATAATGGTTGCTTTGGAGGTAAAGACCGATGATGGGATGCTTGTTCGGAACGTGAGTAGTCACAAATTCGAACGAATTTTCTTAGGTTAGGAATTTTGATTAAGACCTTCTAGTATGATGGAAAGGTCTTAATTTTGAATTTCAATGTTTCTAATTTTAAATAAAATATAAAAATTATATATACATAGTTACCAATTAATCAAAATATACAAATAAAAGAAATAGAAAATTAATGATAACAAGAAATTTGTTAATCATAATAATACAAAAAATAGATAAAATACATATATATAAATAATAATAATTACGGATAATAAAAATACTTAGTCTAAAAATATGATTTTTACTATATGAAACTCTCCAAATCAGATTTTTAGACTTACATAATAAAAATATATGACGAAATAGAAATGGTTATACAAAAACAATAAATAAATATAAAATATTTGTTCATGATAAATATGCACAAAAAGAAAAGTAGTAAATTTTGTGAAAGATAAAAAACGAACATTGAATTTACTAGTGCATCACGTACCATTGCTGCATTATTAAATGTCATGGTATATAGAAATATTCTATATACGAGTGTAAGCTTGATGATGAGACTTTCTGAGGAAGGTTACGGAGGCGAGTTTCTTTGATGAACTCCCTCGGTGAAAAGATACCCTGAATCCCATTAATAAGATGAAAGGGTTCGGAGAAATATCTTTAATAAAAAGCTTTGCCCGTATTAGGATTTACATTCATGAAAAAAATATCATTTTTACTTACAAACGATTATTTTGATGATGGGATTTACTCGTTAAACTTGCGAATATGAGTTTATCTGGTAATTCCCTAAGTGAAAAGATATTTTCAGATCCTACCAGTATGATGGGCAGATTAAAAAAAAAAATCCTCAATAAAGGTTTTGCTTGACATTACTCAAGATTTTTTGTCATGCATTTCATAATTGCGTCACGTGTATGTTAAACCTGTAAAACTAAATAAAACTTTTTAACTTGTTAATAAAATAAAAGATGAATCAAATAAATCAAATTAAAAAAACATAAAAATAAAATTAATAAGTTATGATAATATATGATTTAATGGTACTGTTCTTGGAACGAGTATCATAGGGGTGTTAATCCTTTTCTATGCGTAACCGTACTCTCGAATTCAACTCTAAATAAAACACATAGACCAATTTATCATTGTTTTGACAAATCTAAAATTAATTTAAGATTTCGTTGAACAGAACTAATTTAATAAGTGACTAATCGCACCGAGGTAAAAAAGATTGGTGACGACTCCCTAAATCACTTCACATCTAGTGATCGGGTTCCCGGACTTGGAACATTACGACAATCATATTAATTGATTTGTGCTTAGGATATGGATATACTTATAGATAATATGTAGCTAGATTAGAGTCTGAACTTAATAAGTCTGTTTTAATTTAAATTTATATAGAGATATAGTGTTTTGATTGAAATAGATATTTTAATAAGATAAGTCTAGAGACTTTTATAAATAATTAAAAACTCTAGGTTAGCAATTCAACCTGTTGAAATAAGTTAAGAAAGGGAGTTAAGATTTAGATGAAGTGTGAGGCATATTGTAATTCTAGGCTTATTTGATTTGATTTTTACTCAAGTTATTATTACTTTGATTTTTCTTTGTAGTTTAAATTTTGGTTAATTAGTTTTAGTTAGTTAATTTATTTT